AGGAATTGTGCTATTATTTTCCACATCTCTAAATATTATACAAAAGCAGATGCATGGGTTGTAGAACTCAGACAAATCTCTAGTAAGATAAACTGTTTTCTCCTATGAAGCATACACGGGAGTTCTTCATGCCAAGGACAGTTTCAAAGCCTTCAAATTCAAATCCAGAGTCCCCCCAAAAAAAAAAAAAAAAAAAAAAAAAACAAAAAAAACAAACAAAAAAAAAACAAAAACAAAAAAAAAAAAAAACCCAAAAAAAAAAAAAAAAAAAAACCAAAAAAAAAAAAAACCACACCAACCCACCATGCCTTCGAGTGCCTACTTTGTGTAACTACTGATATCTCAAGTGCAGTTTAATATATAATAAAAGAGGATTCATGGCTCATGTAAACACTCTTCAGCATCAACTGGAACCAATTTGTGGCAGGGAGGGTAATATCAGACCTATGAATAAGGATATGCATCCTTTTATAGGGCAAAATACAAAGCAACTGTAGCTCCTCTTTGTGGAGATCAGTTCAGCTCTTTAGTCTTAGACTTTTGAACCTAATTACACCAGCATTCCCATTATAGAGAACTTTGCACAAACATAACTTATATTTCATAGAAGCAGAACTTACAAAGAAATCTGTGGGGGAAGCATAGTGGAAAAAGCCAGTGTTGCTGACTTTCTATCCATACAGCCTTGAGTGTAAGTGGCTTTCTCTGCCACATTCCCAGGATTTAGGCTTGTCTCTGCTCAGACAATGGCTGCAGCAGCCTCAGCATCAGCTCAAGATGCAAACTGTTCATATTCTGTGTCATCCCTGATCCAACAGACACAGATAACAGCTCATGAAGCACACGGATAAAGATAACCCAACACATCAGAACAATCAAAAAGATGGAAGCACAAAATGGGAGTGAAATGGAAGAAGTAACAGCCTTCAATGGAACTGCAGTGCCTGTCTAAGAACTGTTATAACTCAGCTGCAGTGCTTATCTGGAGAACTGTCCTAACACGTTCCTAGTGACAAACCCACAGCTTTCATTAGAGCTCCCCAGAAAAAACAAACAAACCAATTAAAAAAAAAACACTTTGCATGAAACCATTCAAAAACTGACTCCACGTTCTTCAGAGACTACAATGGCTTAACAGGTGGCTTTTACACAAAACGGGAGTCAGCCCTTCAGACAGGCTCCTGCTCCTACAGCTCAATACTGTCTTGGGATTACAGACCCAGGAGGATTTGCATTTCCTGAACAAACCTATACTTAAATAAGATGGTTAGGGGGAGACATACATATCTGATCTCTCATCACATGTGTTTATTAACTTATGTAATGCTTACACGATCCATAACTATGAAGTAAAGAGGGACTGGTGCTTCTCAGCTTACCAAAAGAGACTTCTATACATTCCTAAGAAAATGAAGAGGCTTTCTCACAAAAAAGCAATAAAAAGGGATTAAATCCCTAATTTCTTCTAGCTATTGCAAATAAACAGCTAAGCAGCTGAACAGGTTGCCATTTTCTCTGTAATTCTTAAATTTTAAATTCTGTTCACCTTTCTACACTCCCTTTCTGTTTTCTTACAGAAATATGAGGTTATGTGGCCCCAGATCCTCTCATTGCTACAAATGTCCTGGACAAAATAGGCAAGATATGGTGTAAGCTACAATCCACCAAAATTTCTGACAGGAAACAAAGGTTAGGTGAAGGAGCAATGGAAGGCACCTCCTGCATAGAGCCAGCTGATCCACCTGTAATGCTTTTGCCTTGGCTGCTTCATAAAAAAGGAAATGTACAGGGCAAAACCAAAAAATCTTCACCAACTGAAGCTGACACAGAGATCAGCTCCTCCTACACCAAGGCAAAGATACCTGTTTTGATAATTTCTTGATTGTGCAAGATAATTTAGGATGGATGACACTTTTCAGAAGTGTTTTTTGATACTCCCAGACTTATCTCTGGGGTCACTGGGACTTATTCGCAGGTGCAGAGAGAGGTTTCTGGGAAGAAAAACAACAAATTCACAAACCTGTTATTTTAACATTTCTTAAGTTGCTGGCTGAAACCTTTCTAATAGAACTTAAGCCTGAAAACAGGTTTGTCTCCCCTGGTTACTTTCCACAGAGCCTTTAAAAGTAATCCACAACCCACAGGTTTGAAGCAAATCCTCAGCAGTCAAGAAGTATTACATTTTATGCTGTGTTTCCACAGGTGAATATGATGTCTTAGTTCCCATAACAGAGAAAACAACTCCTCTCCTTTCCATGGGTCTCCTCTCCCATGTGTGTTTCCCAGCTGGACTCCAAGCTGCCTTGAGCAGGAGCTTGGCAAAGGATACCAAGAGAGACCTGAGCATGCTACAGAATAATAAATATTCCCCCTCAGAGGGATCCTACAGGTGCAGCAACACTCAGGAATCTTGGGGACCAGAAGGAAAAGAAAGTGATAAAAATTCCCCTCATTTGTTTAAGGTCAGCCTTTTACACAAGGCAACAGCAGCCTCACCGAAGCAGTTCCTTTAACACCTGCAGACAGTAAAACAACCCTGGGACAAACACTAATAACTCAGCTAGGTTACAAATCTCTGAGAAATAACAGAGCTACAAAAATTGAGCCATGTCCTCTCTTGCCCCTCCCCTGCCCCCTTTATCATTGAAGATATTCTCACTATTGCAAGATAAACATTTTGGCTAGAAGCACATTTCATCACTGAAATGAAACACACTGGGGACATTCACACTAACATATTGCAAGATCATGATCCTTAAAAGCCTAAGATTCTTTGTCAGGGTAATACTTGAGAAAGTTTAATATTAATTATATACATTTAATAGCAATAACCCCCAAATAAAGGTTATGGCAATCTTACACACTCTAAGACGCCTCTGAAGTGCAAAATCACTTCATTTAAGAGCTTGTCTTGCTGCTTGCAGACATATCTAGTAGATATAAGAAAAGAAACAACTACTAGAAATCTAAATTTCCTGAATTCTGGCTTCGGTGTGCTATGGAAGTCACCAGAATAGCCCCTGGAGCTGTGACTACCCTGGCTAGATCAGCCCCTGCTCTGGGAACTGCTCTGGCAAACAGCCATTGCTTGGAGCACTCAGACCATTAAACTGTACCGCCAATATCGGGTGGGTTAAATGCAGTTCTTACCAACAGAAGTAATTGCATTTTTCCTTTTTAAACACAGTTCCCCCCCCCCCTCCATTATTAGTCAATCCCAGCAGCGCTCTGTTTGCATGGACTAGCTCCCTGTGTTTGCTTTCTCTGCTCCTGCTTTCCCACATTTCTCATTCACCTTCTGTTTAATGATAGATGAGGATTTAAAGTACAGCAGCACTTACCACTTATAAAGGCACACATTAGAGGAGATTTCTTACTACATTAGCAAAACATTCTAATATAGACACAGTTCGTACCACCTTGCTGATAATTTTCAGATATATTCAAATATGCAGATAAAAATACATGTATATATTTAAACATATACATAAATACACACTGACTTCAGTTGATAATCATGTGAAGAGCTAAAGTTGTTAGCATTTAGCCTGGCTTAAACTTTTATACCACATAGAAATAAATGTTTTGTGTTTCATGTTTTGTATCTTCCTACACCATTACAATGTTAAAATATTTAGCATTACTGCATTCAGTGAAGCTTCTTTGCTCATCCTTCTATTTATTGTAGTAATGGGCAGATATTTCAGTGCCCTCAGCTGTGTGGGTTATCAGCCCACCACCCTTGTCACTGGTGCCATGTGGATCAGTCCATGACTAATTAGCTTGATATAAAAATCAATTGTATTTGAGATAACATAAAAAATAAAATTCTCACGGCCTGTTCCTTGCCTTATCCACAGAAGAACAGCCATGCATGTAATTGCTTCAATAAAAGCAGTACAAATTTCTGCAGAGTCCACTCCTACAGTTTATGATCTTTATTAACCTTTACCTTGTATATTTACACAACATGAACCATAATTGAACCCTCTTGCAGCAGGTAAAATTGTGGTGGTTTCACCGAGCTGTGTTACTTCAAAACAAGGGACTCACTTTGCTCTGTGCCTAAACCACTGTACAACCAAGCTAGAATCACCTGCTGCTCTTTAATTCACTCCCTGGCTTTGTTTCATTTTTTTTTCACAGATAATTTCCCTCACTGTGCACATATTGTGTCCCGTTTTTACTTTTTATCCCTCAGCTTCATGAATGACAATCCCGTTATTTAAACTGGAACTGATCCAGGAGCAACACTACCCCAAGGACAACAGCATTAGGATGGAATAGCACAAGCACAGAGGTGAAAATTCTTTGAGTAAGAAATCAGTGGGGAAAGGTTACCTGCTTTGCAAAACCACACGTTTAAACAGCAACGCTCTGCCATATAATGAGACAGTCAAATACCTCGACATAGGCT